TATGATTTTCTTATGAATTGAAAGCATATAATTATTTTTTAGTGTTAACGACTTTTCTACTTTATCTTCATTTTTTTCCAAAATTATTGATCAATACCTAATAGATAATAAAAATAAATGAATCAATTAAATATTAACTAGCATTAATGTAACTTCTCATAGAAGCTACTTACTCTTCTCGAAATTTGTGACCCATTGAAAAAAATTGCTTCATTTTTCATTGAGGATATAGTAGACAATTGGTAACAAATTTGACCATTTCTGTAAGAGTTATTAAAATTAGACAATTTTTAATTGACAATCATGAAATTGAACATTTTTGTAAATTCTCCTATAAAAAATGTATCAATAAAAAAATCAACTCAAATTGATGATTTAGGATGTGTTTGATGGATATTATTGAAGAAATAATATATTTTAAATAGTGATATGATGTGAAATATGTGATCAAAAAGTAAGGAAAATTTATTGATATGATAAAAAATATTATTTTATTGAAAAATGTATTTTAGAAGAACCTGCAAAACAATACCCCAACATTATTGCGCTCCCACAACTTGTGAACCCCATAGTCCACCGCCTACAATATAAAAAAAAGGTCGAATTGCCCCTACAGGCATGGCGCAGTGGTAAATCGGGAGGGTTCTCTACGGAATATCAAAAGTTAGAATCGCAGCGACATCTGGAAGATAACATTTATGTTGGAAGGAATATGTCCTGGAGTAGCAAAGTTATGGTGCACTTTGTCACCCCTCCAGGGGTCCTTTCCACACGTCGTAAAGGAGGTCCACTAGGAGGAGAACCGTTTTTCAAACGTCCGACCCAAGTGTGTATAAACTGTGACCACATCCGAATTTACTTGGGTGGCGAACCAAGGGAAAGACCGCCACTCAGGATTAGTAGGACGAATCTTGGACACTTGAGTTATTAAAAAAAAAGGTCTAATTAACCCAAAATTTGAATCTAGATTGTAAAAACATGAGAAAGCGGCAAAGGAACGGAAATCTGAAAGCCAATCACACTCCATGGGTTAACATCAAAACTTCTTTTGAGAAATTAATCAAATATCAAAAGAAATTGTTTATTTCCGAGATCCAAATTCAATTGAGTTAACTACACATAAACATAACTACAGTGGAAATGTATAGATACTAAAGAGTTCACCGAGGAAGGCATCGGCAACGATAATAGTAATGTAGACGGAGTTTTGGCGCACAAGCACTCTGTAGAGCCCTTCCCAAAGACCTTCGTTTCTTCTAGCAGACGTTTCCATTTCAAATTCTCTCTCTTTTCTTACTACTAGTCGTTGACACGTGCATTGCACGAATTTTGTATTTGTTATGTTTTTTATTAGTGTAGAAATTGTAGATATTAAAAAAAGTAGTTTAAGATTTATTTGATTATTCAAGAGTCTTGGGAGCATATTATTACTTCGCTACTGCTCTATCTAATAAGATAATTATTTCAAAAGTTGATATTATTGCACAGAGAAACTCACCAAAAATAAAATTGAAAACACTAGGTATATGTGGATAATAATGTAAACGTTTGACATACATAAAAATTGCAGGTTTACAAGAATAAGAAATATTTGATTAAATCTATTGTAAATACTAAACAACATTGAAATAAAAGAGAAACGGCGATGCCAATAAAATCTAATTGTTGAAAAAGGGAATAAAAAAGTACTGAATATGAAAAATTATACAGTTGAATATTTGAAAATGAAACAAAAGAAGAACACAATATGGAATGAGCCAAAACAATTTATGAAAAATAAGCTTTAGCGCATTAGAAAAATAATTAACACACTTGTTAGCATTCTCTATCACATTGTTTGCCTCAGGCAGTTTAGTTTCTGCCATAATAGTCAACTTTGTATGCATCTTATCAAATGAATATTTAACCCATATAAGTTGACCAGATTAGAAACTATACACATCATTAAAATAAAAAGGAAAACCTTAGAAGAATGTACATTTTTAGCAAATTCGTCAAATAATTCAGACTGTTCACTTTTTTTTTTTTTTTTGTATCTACAAAATCAGCCTTCTTGCACTTAAACATTAATTTAGCAAATTAAGCAGCAGTTTTAATCTGTAACTGAAAACCACTCCTTTTCTAGAATGAGAATGCTCATGTGATTGATGGTTATATGGCTACAAAGTAAGAATATCAATTTATAACTAAATTAGAATTTAAACAATAAACATGTAAAGTATAAATAAAATGAGCAGTTTTGGAAGCTATCGTTAATAAAAAGTTGTTAACAACTTTTTTTTTTTTGCTAAATTTAGCTATAAGTAAATTATTAACTTTTTGAATGATATGCTAGAAAAAATTGTATATCTAAGCTTATTTAATACAAAAGGCTTTTTAAATCTTAGCTAAACATGCTTTCAATTAGTAAGCAGAAAATGAAATATTATAGTAAACAGTAAATAGTTTAAATACTCATCCATTATTTATACATGTGAATGTGTACTTGTACTTCCTTCTTTTATTCTTCTTTGCAACATCATCTGGCGAGTACATTTATTTTTAAAGCCGAAATTTAGAATTGCACGTTCCTTTGAAACAAGGATGCAACCACCCTTGATAAGCCATCTCAACAATTTTAATTTCAGGTCAATATTCTAATAGAATAAATAAATATAAATTAAATATATTAAGTATG